TACAAATACTTTTTGTATTTTTACTAGAGACGGGGTTTCACCATGTTGGCCAAGATGGTCTCAATCTCTTGACTCGTGATCCTCCCACCTTGGCCTCCCAAAGTGCTGGGATTACGGGCAAGAGCCACCGCACCCGGCCAAATCTGTTTCTTTAAAAAAAAACCAAAAAAACAAAAAAACAAAGTAGGGCTTAATACTTTAAGTTTTTGAATTATAAGCAGTCTCTATTGTTCTTTCATTTTTTAATTGTATGAATTTATGCCATTTTCTAATTTATGTAGAAGGCATTTTCTCTTATGTTGGCAGATCATTTAAATCTTTATTTTCTTTTCTTAGGCAATTTTTCACAGCAAAAGTCTTTGCTAAACTCCTTCATACAGATTCATATGGAAGAATTTCCATCATGCAGTTCTTTAATTATGTCATGAGAAAAGGTGATTCATTTTTACTGTGCTTGAACTCCTTATGTGGGAAGCAAGTAGGTTTTTGGTCTGTGCTTTTATAAGTATTTCTTCCATGTGAAATTACTGTAAGTTTGAAGTAGAACTTCTTATCTTTTGACCAAGATGTGTTACATGAACTTGGGTTATCATAAAAAAACAAAAAGTTTTTAAACCTTCATGTATCTTAAAGATAATAGTAGACTAGAAATATTAAGAGCTGAACCAAGGATTTTAATGTATGGTGATTTGAAATAATTTCAATTTACTGATAATTTTATTTTACCAAGATATTAGAAGTTGAGTTGACTGAAAGGATAGTTTCAAACCCACAACTGCGATATCAGTTTCAAGGAGCATCTATTAAACAGCTTGGACTTATGATTCCTACAAGTGCTATAATAATCTGTGAAAGCCTACTGTATACAATCTTTAATAATTGGTTGCTGTAATTAACCTCAGAAATAAAAGCAGCTTCAATGAAGGCATAACATTATACTAGCTGTCCCTGTTTGGTGGAACACCAAGTTTAATTGGTAAAGAACAGTATCTTCAAGGTGTCAGTTTTATTATAGCTTTAGTCATGACAGAATTGTTGAACTCTGCCATTCTATGGTTTTTTGTTTCAAGCAATTTTGTGGCGAGAAGAAATGTTTCTAGAGTTACTAGATTAGCTCGTCTCAAATCTAGCTCTTTATCTCCTTTTTCATATCTAAAGGATAAATCTTAAGAATTACATTTCATTTTCTTATTTATTGTCAGTTTGGCTTCATCAAACAAGAATAGGACTCAGTTTATATGATGTCGCTGGGCAGGGGTACCTTCGGGAATCTGTAAGTATTAACCTTATAGACATTATATTAACTCTTATAGACATCAAAATGTAAACTGTAGTTATCACTGGGTGTTGGGATTACAGGCTATTCATATAATGCTTTGTTTTATTTCTGTTTGTATGTGTTTGTGTGTACCTATTTAGTTTTACCCTAACAAAGCAACTTGTACACTTTCAACTTTTAAAATTGAACATCATCTTTTCAGTGAAACAAAAAACAAATTTAAAAATAAACAAAATTACAATAGAGAATGTCAATTCCAAATAAGATCCTACAGATTCTACTGATTCTCCCATGGAGTGGCAGGGTTAAAGTCATCATTAAGAGAGCATTTATGCTGGGTGTGGTGGTTCACACCTGTAATCCCAGCACTTTGGGAGGCCGAGGCGGGCGGATCACCTGAGGTTGGGAGTTCTGAGACCAGCCTGGCCAACATGGTGAAACCCCCCCCCCCACCTAAAAAATACAAAGATTAGACAGTTGTGGTAGTGCATGCCTGTCATCCCAGCTACTCGGGACGCTGAGGCAGGAGAATCACTTGAACCCAGGAGGTGGAGGTTGCTGTGAACCAAAATAGCTCCATTGCACTCCAGCCTGGGCAACAAGAGCAAAACTCTGCCTCAAAAAAATATATATATATATTGGCCGGGTGCGGTGGCTCATACCTGTACTCCCAATGCCTGTACTCCCAGCATTTTGGGAGGCCGACGTGGGCGGATCACCTGAGGTCAGGAGTTTGAGACCAGCCTGACTAATATGGTGAAATCCCGTCTCTACTAAAAATAGAAATATTTGCTGGGCTGTGGTGGCGTACGCCTGGAATCCCAGCTACTCAGGAGGCTGAGGTGGGAGAATCGTTTGAACCTAGGAGGCGGAGGTTGCAGTGAGCCAAGATTG